TTTATAAAGGTATACATGGATCAACATTTCATGGAGATCAAGAAGTCCATGAAAAAGGAGAAAGAATACATGATGAGGATGAGTTAGATGCCGATATTTTGATATTGGTATTTTTAGTTACATGGAGTTCAATCCCAAATTGAACCTCCGACGTGCCATTACAAGAGATGGTGAAAATTATATAGAAAATGTGTCAAAAGAAAACCCTTTGCATTTTCGAGAATTGTATCGTATGTATCCAAATATCTTTCTGAAGTTATGTTGTCTCATACGGGAGACGACAAATCTAAGCGTTGAAGAAATGGTTGCCACTTTTCTTGTAGTAGTTGGCCAAAATTCGAGATATTGTTATACAAAGAACACTTTTAAGTTTTAAAAGGTTAATGTTTGCAATAAGCGAGAATTTTCACAAAGTTTTACGAGTTTTTAACCAAATTGCACCAAGTTTTATGGCTAAGCTGGAGCTTACTATGAGCTTACTGTGCCCACAAAAATTAGTGAAAGTACAAAGGTTTTATCCATATTTTAAGGTATATCTCTCTCATTTTTATATCCTTAATTTATATTATTTGTAGAATTTAATTTGAATTTTTCTTTCATTTTATGTAGGATTGTGTTCGAGCTATTGATCTATACATATTTTCGCAATGGTCCGACGAAAAAAGTGATATCTTTTCGCAACTAAAAAGGTGATATATCTCAACATGTATTGGCTGCATGTAATTTTGATCTCGAATTGCTTAGTGGATGTGAAGGTTCAACGGATGACTCAAAAGTATTAAGTGATACTTTAACAAAAAACACTAATCGACTACCAGTTCGAGAGGTACATATCTTCTTATTGTAAATATGTTCTTCCAAAAAGAAAATTAACTATATTATTATTGTATTTCGGGAAATGTTATGTAGTAGATTATGGATTTCGGGAAAGGATAAGAAATGTTATGTAGTAGATTATAGATTATGGATTATGTAGTAAATATGTTCTCGCATGTGCTGGCCGTTTACATAATTTTCTTGGAAAGTTATGTCGATCAGATAATTCTCGTGAAGAAATTAATAATAACAATGGTGAACTTCCTTGAACCTAACCCAAGATCAACATAGAGAATTTGGCAATTTGCCAATCAGTGGAGAGCAACAATTGCAACAAATATGTGATTAGATTCAATCTCGTCGTAACGGGATTCATATACGACAAAATGAGAGCTCCTTGCTTATTGTTTTTTTAATCATGCTTTTTTCTTTTTGTTAGGATTTACTTATCGAATACATAGACAAATGGGGTTAGATATGTTTTAGTACCTAACGGGAAAGGGAATGGATATGCGTGATTAGAAGTGGCATTTGTGATTAGTTGCGCAATCACAAACTGATTTTATGTTCTTTCTTCCAGGTGACACAACCAAAAAAGAGTACTCTAAAGTGACTACCCCAACGATCATGGTTTGAGAGGGATTGACGCGAAGACACTTTGTTAAAATTTTCGGTAGGTTCGTTTCACTTGAGGATTAGCATTTAGTCTCATCATTTTGCATTTGCAAACTAGTTTTGGCATCAATTGTCTGTTGTCTTTATCCTTTTTTTGTTCCTACTAAACAAATCTCCTAAAATAAGGTAGAAACTCTTATTAGGGATCGATTAATTACTCAAATTAAACAAGGTGATCAAGCTGATCCCAAAAGTTTATAGCATCCTTTATATATATATTACAAAGATAGATTATTACATTATTTGATAGTTAATATATTACAAAGATAGATTATTACATTATTTGATAGTTAATATATATACAATAGATAAGAAAAATACGAAAGGAAAGGAATATCAATTCCAAATTCCAACCATCACTATGATTCACTTTCATTTTTTTCATCATTTGCTACCTGAGGATGATGCATTGGTAGAAGAATGGTCAAATTTACAATATAGAACCGATTTGCAGAGGCCAAGGCGACTGTAATGCGGGCAAATGGGTTGACCAGGTCTTAGCGGTAAGCCCACTTCATTGACATAATAGGTGTTATATTCTTTGGACAGTACGCAGTTTTAAGATAGCCGCTGCATACTGGTTGGTCTGGATGTTGTGGCAATTTGCCTCCTGCCATTTTCTTCTTCTGTTTGTATTGTCTCAATAAAAAACTTGTGTATCTACTACCTTGTTTATATACACTACAAGAAGAGAACTTGCATTTTGAATATTAAATGACATGTTTAGCATATGTTGGAGAAATATATCATATTTACATTTATTATATATATTTAATTATAATTGCATTTAAAAATAAATCTATCTTTTTTATTTTTTTTGGTGTGAATCTATCTTTTTTATTGTATTCCTATTTCTATCTTCTATTCATTATTATGTAATTAAATTACCTTTTGCTGATTATTGAAACATTTAGATTTATCTATCATTTTACATATCCGGATTTAACTATATAAATCTTCTAAAGTATAACCACTACTAAAAGAGACTTTAGTCAACTATAATCCAATCAAATGTTCATATCATCTTCAACAATTATAATTGCTCTTTAAAGAAAAAAGGGGAAACCATACCAAATTAAAACATTATTCGTAATGATGTCCAACACATTATTACTTAATCTGAACAGAGCCAATTATGATTTTAAATACACAACATTTTATGTGTAGAGAACAATGCATTTGAGTGCTTTCCCCGTCTAACTTAGAGACATACGTAGCTCTAAAGACACAAATTGTATAGGAAAAACAAATATCAGAAGTTGAATCTCCGAACTCGGAGGGAAATGACTATGTATTGGATTTGGATAATGTTTTCATGAGCCAAAAGTAGCAAATGAGCCAAAAGTAGCAAAACATAAGTAGGATCATTGATAAACTCCACCTCTACTTCTCCATATCTCAAACTGAAAGTTAATATTGGACTTTGTTCGGTAGAGCAACAGTCTTATAAACGCCAATTTTCACAACATGTTCTTCACCTTAAGTCCTCTCTCGTTGAACCACAGGGCGGTGTGGCTTTGGAGCTAAACACATAGAAAAAGAACAAAATCTTATGAGATGATTCATCAAGGAACGGAGTTACAAGTAAAGATGAGAATAGTTACCATTGGGATTGCCTTGCTCATAGAAACATTTGAAAAGAGAGACAGCTTCTTCTGCCATTATACCTCCTATGCACTTGTACCCTTTTCCTCTTTGATATTCATCACGAGTGCTACTATAAAAAATAGCGAGAAAAGAAATCAATTCATAAGGCGGTTTTTACCATAACATTGTAGTGATCGTAGGACTTACATGAGATCTGATGACTGAGAATTAGCAAAGTGAAGGGACAAGATGGAACCACATCCCCCGAATTTATCATTTGCACATCCATAATACACTTCCTTTATACCTTGAAGTAAAAGCAGAGCATATCATTTCTCATCAGAAAAAAAACAAAACAAAAAAAGTCTAATTAAACTTAAGGAATCATACCGAGAAACGATAAGGCTGATGCACACATTATGCAAGGTTCACATGTTACATAAAGAACGCAATTCGAGAAATTCTCAGCGACTTGTGAAGGTGAGAGTCTGTTTTTCCGCCATTGTCGGATAAGTTCATCGATTGCTTCCATCTCTGCATGTCTTGAGGCCTTTTCAAACAAAATTGTAAATAAACATCTTAGTATAGTTGAACAAAACAAGGTAACAATCATAAACAATCAAATAGATAATTGAAGAAACTAGCTAGAACAGATAGAACTTGTCAAGCTTAGTGGCTTCTGAAAGTTTTGAATGATTACATTACGTGTCTCGTTCGTTCGGTTTCGCCCTGAAGCAATGACCTTGCCATCCTCAAGAATGACACACCTGATCCAGACAAACAAGAAGAGAAAGATGAAAAAAGAAGTGTGAAACCTTAATTGATCATGGTAAGAAACACAATGAAGCAAAGGCAAAAATTTAGAGACCCCACGGGAACTTCAAGAGCCTCCAGAGCAAGTTTAGCCTGGAATCCAGAGAATTCAACCACTGTAACTCTAAAAGCAACAAGCTTTTTCAGTATTATCGAACCTATACAAGTGTTACCTGTTGCAGAGCAAAACCCATATAATTATAAGAATCCTCGCAATGGTCCTCTTCCACTGGTGCCATAACTTTATACTTGGCTTCCCCAGAGAAAGTATGTAATAAAACCTGATAACGAAGATTCGAAAAAAGCCATAAAATTATCACTAAGTAAAGGATGGTATGTTTGGCATATCCTATTTAAAGAGAATCTCTCAAAGCAAAATCTGAGTTTTCTTTCTCCAAAAGTTCTTAATTTACATGTGTGTACCAAAATACCAAAATTGAAACTAAACAGTAGAACACAGGTATCAGAAGACTGTAAGGACTCGAACTAACCACATTATGCCCTCAATTATCAGATTCAAATTTGTGAATTAAACAGAAAGCCAATGAGCTATGACTATGAACAAGGTATGGTTTTGTGACAATTCTCAGACAGTAAGTGAAAGACAAAGAATTGATCTAAAGGGTTTGATAGTTACCTTTCTCGGAATCAATACTAAGATCCTCTGCGATTTTCTGGTAGACTTCAGTCGCGTCAAATTCACTGGTTTTCCTGATGAGAATATGCCATCAATGAACGAAGAGCATCAAATTAGAACACTCGAAATCAATCTAGATAATAAGAACACAGCAACAACAATAATCTATGGAAGAAACTAAGATTGAAGGAGAAAAATCGACAGTAGATTTGAGAAGCAACGAACCAGAAAATTCGAAATTTGGCAAAGACAAATAACAAGCTTCTTCATCATCATCATCGACTAAGAAACCAATACCCAATACGACGGCGTTTTGTTAAAAAAATTAAAAACCTAGGCTGAACTATTGCAAGCCAAAGTGCTCAACATAAGTGAAAAAGTCCACTAAAGCCCATTTATTATTATTTCTGAGTTTATCAAACAGAACTAAAAGTGCTTGATTTTCATTTTTCCGAGTAAAGCCCATTTATTAATAAGAGCATCGTTATTGGTTGGTATCAACAAGATTAATTTAGTATTAAATTTAATAGTTTTTTAATCTTTGAGATTCATTAAAGATTTTGTAATTTTTATATGTTTAATGGTGATACTC